TAGAAAAAGCTTTTGACAATGTTAATTTGTTTGATTTGCAGATGATATAGCAGTATTAGCATCTAGCAAGGAGGAACTAGAGGTAGCTTTAAATAAAATGGTATTGACTGACAGATCAGTACTGTATGAAAATAAATAAAAGTAAAACTAAAATACTGGTATGCAAACGAAGAAAAAGTTGGGAAAGAGCGAATATAAAGATAGGAGACAAAGGATTAGAAGAACTGGCTGATTTTAGATATCTAGGAAGTCAGATAAGTCAGGACGGAAGGAGTAGTAGGGATATAAAGCATACATAGGTAATAGATTTCAGTCTAGTAGTAGGTAACAGTATTCATCTAAAAATCTCAAACTTTTGCACAGTTTTTATCTAAAGTATTTCCGTTACCGTCTAGGGAATAATCTCTGAAGTTCGGGTTCCAGTGATTTTCTGAAAATACTTCTCATTTTTATTCCTCCTGTTCTTGAAATGTTTTTTTTTTTTCTCAAAACCGTAATTCGTTTAGAGATTTATCAATCAAATTTAGAAATATTTAATCTTTGGCTAATTGTCACTGTAACAGACACTTGGAGGTTTTAAAAGCATTACTGAAGAAAATTTCGGCATTAAAAATGCAAAAAGATATTTTTAAAGACCATTATCCTTAACAAAAGGTAATTTTTTAAGATATATCTTTGAAAAGTTTAATATACTCAGATACGTCAATTAATTTTAAATGATATACTTAATAATAAAAAAGTTGCATGTAAACTTGGACTATTAAATTTAATTATGTACTTATACATTAGGTTTTAACTAAATTTGGTAAAACATTCTTTGGATATCTAATATCTAATCGTATTATATGCTATATTTATCTTGTTTTAAAAGTCTTGCAACATGTTAACCAAAAAGTACGTATATTCAGGACATTTTAAACTAATACACTGCCTTATTGGAAAAAAGAACAGTAAACAACAAAAATAACAGCAAAAAAAACATCTTTTTGAAGATATACTCCACATCTTGATCCTTGACGCCCTTTTCGTATTATTTTTCTTTTCACTTTCCGTTGTCAATTACTATATATATTTACATACGGTTTCCTTTCATATGTAAAAATGTCCGAAGTCGTTCGTTAGTGTCGTCCTGCGGTTTTCTTCTTTCGTTTTTTAAATTTTATCGTTTCAGACAAAGGAATTGTTTTGAATGAACTTTTTCCCGTTGCTGTTCCGACAAATTATTTTTCAATACAATAATATAAAGCGTTCAAGCGCTACAGCTTTCGAAGCTGTGGAAATATCTGTATTTACGGAATATCTTAGATGGCAGGCATTTTATCTTTTCTCTTTTATACTGAGGTATTTCTTTTGAATGTTTAAAACGAAGGCAAGAAAACGCACAAAGAGAGACGTTCTTTGTAAAATTATTCTACCTATATCAAGTAAAGTATTTAGATGGAAACCTTTTGATATCCCGGCGCACCAAATGACAAATACTAATCATTTCTTGAAGATTAATACTATTATTAATTCGTTTGTACTTTTCTATTTCATTGAATTAATTAATCTCATTGCTTCGTTAGTACATCATGTTGAAAAAGACTTTTGAATTTGGTATGTAGATGCCTACATAATTAAATTAGAAATAAACTTCTAATGTGCACAATTATTTTTTGCTAATTTATTACCAAATCCAAAAGTTTGTTCCTCCAGCCGGTTACTACAAAAAGACAAAATGCTATCCTGATATCAACCTAGCACTACACACTAATTTGTAGCAAATTTGTCAATGATAAGATGGTTTTACGTCATTTATTTTCCGAGATACGTAATGTGTAGTATCAGCTTGACGACTTGGATGGATAAGTCCTATAATTTTTGTAAGGATAAGTCTTTCAGTTAGAAAATACCACAAATGGCGCGGTAAACGCCATCTATAGTACGATGCTACATTTTAGGATTACGTATGCTTCAACAAGGCCCATTTAAATATATGGATATCCGCGTCTGGCAGTTTCAACAGAATACAGACCACTTCGAATTATTTTATTCGATTATAAGTCCTTCAGTTGTCTTAACTAGCGAGAAAACGGGTAAATATACTTACATTCCATCTTTCAAAGACAAATAATTACCGACAAATCAAAACCGTTTCAGTATTTCGTCTATTTTCCAGTATCCGGCCATCAGCGTGACAAATTTTTGGCCAAATTAGCGACAAATTAGAGTATGTACGTACATCCAAGAAAACTGAATTGAATTAAAAGTATTAGCATTCAAATATTTTTAGAAATTTAGATATTTTATGAAGATTCCTTTAACGGAAATGATAATTAAAAAAGCTTCTGGATATCAAATTAATTTATTACTTTCTTTAATATTTCTATTGTGATACGGTTTTTGTGTTAATTGAAATTCCTGTTAAGCAGTAGCGTTAGTTTAATAAATAATTAAATTAGCTTGTTTTGTTTAACAAGCAATAGGGAAATCCTGAATTTTGCATCGGCGAGGGTCACTTGTTCAATTATTATTGTTGCGCAAGCAGCCTAATTAAATTGCAGCCTGATAATTAAGAAACGGCGCAATTTATCTAATTACCTCCCAGTTGATTCAAACGTTCCCGTCTTCGAGGAAGGCACCGTTTCACTTTTCTTTCTTTTTAATATTGAACACCGGAAGAGTTTTTGGCTCCTTTCAATAAGTTCCTGTTAATTAATTTCCCTAATGCAGGAACATTTGCCCAATGAAATGAGGTGGAAAATTGCCAGTTATAATTAAAATACAAAGGCTAAGAATGAACTTTCATTAACGTTTCTCATCGTCAGGTACGCAAAAAATAATGCTAATGGATGAAACCCTTTCTGAACAATAATGTCAAAAAATATAAAGAAAATAGGTACATTTACTCCCTCAGGAACAGTCTCCTATTATTTACCATAACTGCAATTACTTTAAGAAACTCAGAATTTCCTTATTTTACTTTAAGTATTTTATATATAATATTACTTCTACGAATTTGTGACCTAATAAATATGCATTGTGTTGTGACTGCTGTTAGCTCTCGTAGCTTAATGATTAGAGCATTGGCATGTAAAGCCAAAGGTGCCGGGTTCAACTCCCGGCGAGAATGCGACAGTAACAACAATTTTTGGTCATTAATTTGAAGCAATTTCTAGTGGATAAAAATTAATATTAAATACCTACAATTATCGACAATACGAAAATATTCTCATAGATCAATTATACCTACACAATTTATTCCGCTGTAGAATGCAATTTTTAGAAACAAATCAAAATTAAAAATAAAAACGTTAAAGAGCTGTTCAAGTATTATGTAACGCCGTTAGAGAAAGGTAGAGGGGTATCTTAAGACGTATTAGGGGATGGCAATAATGGGTCAATAAACGCGTTACGTAACATTATAAAAATTAGAAAGAGGAGACTGTGGTAAATATTAAAAAAAAAAAAAAAATAAAAGGAACACTCACTTTTAAAATTATTTGTGGTAACTAGGGGTGAGTATTCCTTTTAATTTTTAACGTAACATTATATTTTTCTTTAAATAAAAAAATTCAATATTTCACTGAAAAATCTTAAAACCCGTATCGAAAAGAAGATAAAAGTTTTGCTTAAGAATATGTTAGGGAAAACACTAAAATTGTTTTGTAAAAAGCGAAAATAAAACAGACCTCAGGCCAATAAATATTATAAGTTACGTGTTCCATGATTTTTCCATGAACAATTTTTCGTAATGACTTGGAAGTATGACGGTATTTACATTTACACGCTATTTCGTCATTTAATTTTGAAACTGTTCCTTACGTGTTCAAATAAATTAAAGGTCGGTACGTAGTGGCATGTTCAAACTGCAAAGAATATAAATCAATAAAGAAAATGCAATACGGAGACTACTAATAATAGCGACGGTTTGTACCTATCGAACAAGAGAAAATTTTACATGTCGAGCAAGCAAATTGTTATTTATCGTCCGCTGTCCTTATCAGCAAATACGAATTTTAATCTCGTCAAATTTGAAGCGGAACATTTATTTTTTTTTAAACGTAGTATTTTTAAGAATTTCGATATCTATTAACTGTGGATATTCTGGTAAAATAAATATGATTATATAGATAGTATTAAAACATAATAATAAGAACATCATCCTCTTTGAAACCTTCCTGCATTTAAAATAGAAGCTGTAAGAATTTCCTTACATTTTCTTGTTTAAAAAAAAACAAGTATACGTATATATATTATGAATAATGTGTTAAATTGAAAACGATCCTTCACTTATAGCACGGCTGTCAAGTTTAAACATATGTTATCGAATTTGTTGTTATCTTTTAACATCAGCAGTAAACAAACGTCGCTGCAGGCTTTGTTTTGAGAGAATTTTATTTTTCAAAAATCACTTTTCACATTTCCCTAAAACTAGAACATCCCACATCCTTAACTATTTGGGAACAGTAATCTAATCTATGTGTACCTCTTCACGATTAAAATCAAAAACGAAAATTTGCCTAAATACTAAAGCGATATTTACCCGTTGCTTCGTAAGCGAAAATAATAAAAATTACAATTTGGAGCCGAATTTGTAAAAATAAAATCCCAGCAGAAATAAATTTACTATTAGATATTTTAGTTGATATTACAAATTTAATTGTATCTAATAATTAAGAAACTTGAAATAATTTTCAAATAAACATGTCAAAAGTCAGATTATTACAAGTTACCTAATAAATTCAACTATTTCTACTGCAAATTTACAATAAAAAAATGTAATTTTTGCGTTGTCATTAAAATTTTTCCCCCGTTTCTGCTTCTAATATGTCTCTAACTAGCCTGAGAAGGTGTCCTACCTATAGCGCCCTCTATTCTCCTACTCTTTCTAACATCTCCTCATTTCTTTTCCGCCTCGCTCACCGTCTATGTTTCGCACCCGTACAGTGCCCCGCTCCTTTAACCTTTCGCAAGTATTATTGATGGAAAGAAACTATACAACAAATTTTTTGTTACAGTGTAGCTTGGACAAGACTCCTATAGGTCGCTGCTTCACTTCCCGGCACAGTAACGAGTCCCAGTGTCCGATGTTATCAGGAAAAACCCCGACGAAGAACAACAAGAAACAGCACGGTAAGTCAAGTCTCCTAGCTTCTCTCAGGACATCTCCTACGTCACATAACAACCAAAAGAAACTTCGTTTCCAATTAGCTAAAGAACGGAAGGCCAGTACCACGTTAGGGATAATAATGAGCGCATTTGTAGTTTGTTGGTTCCCCTTTTTCGTTCTGGCTTTGATACGACCGTTCCTAGACCAAACGTCGAGAACATTGGTCACCTTGTCCAGTGTGTTCTCGTGGTTGGGCTACGCAAATAGTCTGTTGAACCCCATCATTTATGCCACGCTGAATCGCGATTTCCGGAAACCGTTCCAGGAAATCCTGTATTTCCGATGTGGTAGACTTAATCATATGATGCGGGAAGAGTTTTATCATAGCCAGTACGGAGACCCCGACCACCATATTCCTGCTAGATGTCAGCCGGACTATGAAGAGGGTGTCGAATACATTGAGGCCGAAGGGGAAGATGTCAAAGTTCCCGAAGTCAGTGCTGCCCATGAATCGTTCCTGTGATTTATAAAAGTTAGAAATAAGTAGGATGTTAGTTAAATTATTTAGGTATAAACTCATCGTACCCCTCACACAGTAGTACAATTACAACCCTTGACTTTATCCATAAATATTTGCTTACGTTCATGTCCATGATGCATCGCATCACACTGAACAATTCAACTTCCACTCATTGAAGATGCTAAATAAAATAGCGAAACGTTCGACGGAATTTTCTTCTTTTGATTCTTAATTTTATCCAAATCAAAATATCTACTACCTATTGAAGTACGTACAAACAGGATTCGATCAAGAATTTTAAAAATCCATATAAAACTATGAATTTCCGCGTACTTCTTTTATTAATTATGGATTATTTAGTACTTCCCCGTTTGAAGCCCATTCATAACATTAGTTTAAAAAAAAAACGGTTCAAGAATTTTTAAATTTTTAAAAGATCATACTTAAATTAGATGTTTTCCATTGGCATACAATAAGTATTACTATCAACAGCAAAGAGAAATATCCAATATTTATTGGTTTAAGAAAAAACATTTTTTTATCATTATTTATTTACATCAATTATTCATAGTATAAATTTAAAATTCGTGTAAAAGAATCGTACCAAAATATTTTGTTTTACCACTTAAAAGGAACTTTTAGAAAATAATTCCTTTACTCCACGTTTTTCGAGTGGATCACTTTCAAGGAAATTCTTTATCTACAAAGGCCTAAAGCAGGAAAATATTTAAAGAGAAGCGCTAGTTTGTCTCGTTTGTTTGTTGTGTTCTCATCCTTCTTCTATTATTTATTAAATGTGGTCGTAGTGTCTAATTCTAACAAAAAAACCAATCTATAATTTATGGTACTGAAATGGGTTTATACCTAGACAATTACAAGATTAAAAGTCAAGCTGCAAGTAAACCACAAAAACACTTGTATGTAAATATCAAAAGTCATTCGTTTTTCTTTATTTTTCATTTAACATTTTTAAAAGGTGGAAAATATCATGTATAATCTTGATTATGATAAGAAATTTTCATTCAGAGAGTTAGAGATGTAAATAAGTTATTAAAAATGATTCCTATACGAAATTAAAAAATTAATCAACTGACTAAATAAATAAGTGTTTACGTGTGAAGTAATATTTTAACCACAGTAACAATAAATTCTCTCAAAAAGTATAGATATATATCAAACAAAAATCTTTTCTACTACTTCGTTTATAAACATTTATTGGAAAAGAAACGTCCACATTTACTTGCAGCTATTTAAATTGTATGAATTAAGTTAAGGGTATTTATTTATTTTTTTTGTCACGTCTGCAGCGTGAAATTCTTGTACTGTAAAGGTGGTTGTTATAAAAGATTCGTTATGCCAAGTAAATGGCTTAAATGCACTAAAAAATTGTGCTATTTCTCCTAGTACAAAACTAAAAAATTGTGCTAGAATTTGTTCACTACTTTCGAAATTAATTCATTTTGTGTCAACAAATTGTTTATACGTATTTACAAAATCATTACTTTTCTATTTCAAAACTTGCAACATATATAGAATTTATTTCAAGGAACTTTTAATTAGTGGTCAATATTCATTGTCAATGTGAAAATGTATCCAATCTTCAACCATCACAAACTACACCAAATTAAAGAGGAAAGACTAGTGCTGTCGTCACCTCTCATAGCTTAGTGGTGAAAGCATTGGTGAGTAAAACCAAAGGTCCCGGGTTCGGCTCCCGGCGGGGGTGTGACAGCGGCAACAGTTTTTCCACATTCATTTGAAATAGTGGATAAGATTGGAGTAACTTTCACATTAATTTATGTAGAATTGTGTGAAAAAAAACTACACAGAAGTAAGTCGATGTATAATACAGGCATCTACTGAAATTTCGCTGCTAACTGTGCTACTTCAAAGTGTTCCAAAGTCGGATGAAATGCTAAAATAGTAACCTTCTTGATTCTATATGAGCGAGTTACATTCTGATTATAAAATACATTATGATACGATCATCAGTTCTTGTGAACTGAACGCAAAAACATGGGTTAATGTGCGAACTTCTTTAAGTAAAAAAGAATGTAATCCAAGTTGCAAGAAAGGCGTTCTCTTGACTGTTCTCATACCTAAAGGGACTGGGATTATTCGCAACAATGTCGGAAGCAGACACGAAATTGGTCCATAAATCGCTTTACTGTTTTAATAAAAATCAGTTACTCGAGTGTTCTCCCTCGGAAGAGGAGACATGGTGGTGGTATCACTGGGGAAGTAGCTTTACTCGCTCGTCCTTTTACGACAGAACCCTTTCGTGCAGTGTCGAACATAAAACGATGTCGATAGTCATAAAAACGGCATGACATAAGTGTCACTCAGACACAATCCATAACCTTCTCTCGGAGGCATTAAAGTGCTCCAGTTTTATGATTAGGGGGTCACATATGTACCCTGTTCGTTGCGACATACCTACTGGATAAAATTAAAAAAAAACAATACATTTTGTTGACCATAAAAATTTCTGTGGTTCATTCTGCAGCATACACAGTTTTAATCTAAGAAAATTCAAGGAAAGTTTTATTAAACTCATTTAAAAGTCAAGTGAAATCGACCCCGATTAAAAAAAATATTTTTCAAAATCAAAGCATACATTTTTTGTAAAGTTGTAAAAGGTCCTTTGTCCAGCTGGGTCTCTAGCGTCTTATTCATTGAACGAAATCGTAATTGGTAGACACCTCCTAATACAGTATTGGAGGGTGTAAGTAGGGATACATAAAGTGCGTTTTAGAAAATACTACAAATGACGCAGTAAACGCCATCTGTAGCACGATGCTACATTTTAGGATTACGTATGCTCCAACAAGGTCCACTTGTGTGGATATCTACATAAAATATTTCTCGACTAAAAGGTTAAAAAAAAAAGTACTCAGCATAAAAATAAAGTATTTTATTTTTTGTTTTTAAAAACATATTTTTTGTTACACCTAGCAGCCAGTAACAAATTGCTGTCGCTCTTAAATACATTAATAGCCTCTAAACATGGCAAACAAAGATTTAAGTAAACTAAAAGTTCATTTTTAATTAGTTTCAATGAAGCTTTATTCCTGTCGTCCCGCCACTTTGCGTTCATAACAGCGAATACTCTTTCTGTAAATGCTGAAGTGGCCGGAACGGACAGCAAAAGTGACACTACCTTGAACAGATTTGGGAAATCACGTTGTTCCGTAAATATGGCTTGTCATTTTTCTGTGCAATATTATTGATATAAAAGTACTCTGAATTTCGAATAATCGCATTCAAAATTACGATGTTTACTCAAGGCCTTAAATAAAGTATTTTTGCGTACTTGTGGTTTGTAAAGTATAACGTACGCACAGTCGAAATAGAGTACAATAAAGCACGGGTAGCAACCCTAGGTGTAACGTTGTCAATTTTGCGAATTTTTGAATTAAAGGTGTTAGGCCCCTTGCCATGCGCCCTTTCTCCGTCACTGGGTTTGTACTGTTTTTCCATTAAGTCAAACGCGACGGGCCTAGAGAGGTCGGACTTTTTCGCGAATGTGCGCGAAAAACGTTTTCACGCCTTGCTTCCCATCCACAAAGACGATAAAGGTTATTTGTGTTGAAAAGGGCGGAATTAACGTTTCAATGATAAAAGAAGCAATTGAGCTTGCAAAAATGCAGAAATTTTCAACACTTCCAGCCTTTTATACGTAAACTTTATATACATCATCGTCCATAAATTTAAAGCTAATCCTTTTAGGCATCTTCACATTATTATCTGCAACATTTTTTCATTATGGAATTTCATATTAACGTTTGTTTCATCCACCTTAGCGTATCTACTTTATTTTCTGCACTACAAACTAATCTAATCAACAACGGAATTTTTAATTCCATGTACGTAACTATAAAATGGTAGCTACCAAAAATCATCGATATTCTCTTGCTAAGTATATTTTGTTGAAAGTTACTTAATTTATTGATTTTCTGCACGATTTTATTCGCATACAAAAAAGATCAAATTTGACTTTCGGTGACAATCGTTGAAAATTTTGGTGAAGGCGCCAGGACAATTTAAAACCAACACAATAATTAAATTCTAATTCTTGTTTCATTGAAGTAGACCGATACATTATCAGCTTTAAATTATGTTTTTTTCCATGTAGACGCAGTTTAGGGATGCTAATTTATATTTTTCTTTTACAATTTGTAATATACAGTGTAAACTCTATATAACGACACTTAAGGGACTGAACATTTTTCGGCGTTATAAAGAGTGGTCGTTAAATGGAGAGAAATAAAAGATATTATTTTACTATTCTATAATAACATGCATTTACCAATATAGTACACATTTTGCACACGAACATTATTATTCATACATTGCGTATAGCCTGTTATCTTCGTCTGATGTTTTTTGCTGCTCCAATATTTTAATTGTATTTTGTTACGTATCTTACTCATATCTTGAGATACTGCTGGATCAATTTGATTATATAAAAAGTATTTTTTTAATAGTTTCGCTGCATCAAGTGCTTGTTTGATGCTTGGTGGAGGGACAGGATCGTCTTCTTCAACAACGTACACAGCTGCAGTTCTTATCTATTTCGGCAACTTAGAAAGTACTGCTTAATGATTTATAATGCCGCATTGTTGTCGTTAAATAGAGTGAGCGTGACGCTATATAGAGTGTAATATTGTATAGAAAACAATGTAAACCAACCAAAGTCAAGCAATTTCGACGTTATAAAGAGTTTACACTGTAATAATATATTATAATATAATTATTAGTCATGAATGATTGTTTGTGTACAATATGAAATTAGTTTACGATTATCGAAACATTTGCGACTTATCAATGAATTTATAAATATTAGTAACTTCAATTCTCTGGTTAGTTTTTTACCGGTAGATAGCTAATACTTTATAAGCCGGGGACGCGTTTGTAATTCAGCTGAAACTTTCTTCCTACATTAGTAAATAATTTGAAAACTGAACTTCTAAGGCGATAAATTATGTACACCCCACTTACCCTCAAACGCAACACGTTTTATCTTCTGATATCCCCAAATACGAACTTATAAGAAAGCTTAATGTCTCCTCGAGGAATTTAATATGTTTAACATAAAATTTATATGTTTTTAACAAACTGTACGTGCCCTAGTTTTATTCATCATCCGCAATCTCCCACGTTTCACTTTCGCTGCGTTTTAGGGCCGAAAATAAAAATAAATCGTCATTTCGTAAATGTTAAATTAAGTATATTTTTCAGCCGTCATAACTGTTACAGAATTTATCTTTTAATAAATAACCGTCATTAATTTTCACTCCACCACCTGTAGTGAGTATAGGTACCCTTTATTTTCCTTCCTTAAATGGCGATCACTTATCTACCTTCAACCGAGCCTACATTTTAAGATGATAAAGGACTTTACGAAAATGGAATCGACCTCAAAAATCAAAAAACAAAGAGGCAATCTAATAAAATGATTCGAAGTGATCTGTATTCTGTCGAAACTGCCAGACGTGGATCGCGATTTCGATCTTTTTGGATCTCATCAGCGCGTCGCAGGCAGCTCCGACAGAATCATTTTATTCGATTAAGCTAACGTGCCTATCACGTTGAGGTTGGCTACGCCGGGATTCGTTTTCAGCAAGTAGATATCCACACAAGTGGACACTGTTGGAGCATACGTAATCCTAAAAATGTAGCATCGTGCTACAGATGGCGTTTACTGCGCCATTTGATACTACTAAAAAGGCAATCTAATTGAGATAAAAGTACAGGGTAATTTCCCCAGTAGTACAATAATAAATACATAATACAATCAAGCTAGCCCAATTTATATGATCTGCGTATGGCAGGTTAGTGTTTTCATTTTCAAAGCTTTTATATCCTGTTTAATTCCATCCCTAAATCTATCTACCTTTTTAATTTTTTTATTAATAAAGAAGCTTATTCTTGTACGTATCAATCAACAATGCTCATTGTTTACACGGAGGTGTTGTACTTGGAAACTTTTTCCCTTTTTACGGTTTTTTACTTGAATAATCCATCAATCATGTGCTGGCGTTACTGAAAGTGTGTCGCGTATAGAACACCTTATCAATCAGAAGGAAATAACATTTCCCAGTAAAATTTTTTTATACTGGGAAGTAGCTACTGATACAAACTAATATGAGACCAGTAAACTTTCTTAGAAACACCTGAAGAAAAAAACAACTAGAATGTTTTTGTACACGAACTTTGTACTTGTTAAAAAGGTACCGTAGATATCGACAAATTTTATTCTATTACAGTCATGGAGGTTAGAAAGTGTGGTGAGATAGGCCATTGTCAGTAAAAAAGCATTATATTTTGCCGACTTGTTAATAAATGAGAATTTAACTCGTACCTATTATCATCATCCCTAACATAATTCAATTCCAATTTGATTTGGCCTACAATTATATAATTAGAACAAAAAATATGTATAAATAATGAGTACAAACTAAAGGCGAATTAAAACGTTTCAGTGGTGTATCCGCACCCTGTCAGTGCTGTATCCGTAGGTACTTTGTCGTGATGATTTAGAAAAAAAAACAGTATTTTAAATCCATAGATATTTACCTATTAAAAGGTCATCATTTTTTAATAAGTTTGAATTAAAGTCTAGTCTTTTGAGTATCAAGTATAGATTCGTCGGTTGTTAATGGTTATAAATCGATTATTCACTGTTGGTAGTGTCAGCTGTTTAGGACGGACGCGATCCGGACGTCACCTTACTGTTCATTTATAATAAAAGTGCTTGGCTTTATCGTTGCCGCCCCGCCAGACGGTTAGCCCACACACCATGTGCCCCCTGTAATTTACAGCAAATGATTAATGACTCGTTCTTTGGTCATACCGTGGCTTATAGGGTGATACACCCGCGTCGCTTATGTCTAATCGATAACGTCGAAATTTAACACTTGCTTTTCACGTAAAACACAAGCCGATGAGAGATAAAAAAATTATTATTCGTCATCGTTATCCCCGTTTTGATGCGATACCATTCGTTAAAAATTTTCACGATCCGAAATCGTTTTAATTAATTTCATCCTCGCTGGCGGGGGAGTATTTTAAGCCTCGAACACAATGTGATTGTGCAAAATATGCACCCACGTTTAATGGAATAATTAAAGTTTAATTTCTCTATTTAAAACATTTTGTTTATATTAACTCAAAAAATTTGTTGACACAAATTAATCAGTTATTATTAATATTATTCACAAATTAAATTTTGTATTGTTTAAAGAACGAAACGTCTGTAGTAAATACAGAGGGCGATCTCGAAGTAAAAGAACTCATTCGTTTTTAATCATACATTACATCAAATAATGTCAAATTGATGTTAAAATAAAGCTCTCTTTGATGAAATAATAAGTAGGTAATTGAATGTAAACCGTCTTCCATATAGTTACATATGTAAATATCAATTGGTGAATTTTTAACTACATTGGTTATTTTTTTCTGTCATAGTCGTTTTCGATCCAATTGTCCAACTCTTTCAAATCATTACACAAGTTTGTGTATATATAAATGTATTAATTGTTCTTTGGCGTCCCATTGTTTTCATTTAATCAAATACCAAACAGAGCATTGTTTTTATTAATTTAATATCATTTGATGTGAGATAAGATTTGAAACTAATGAGAGTTTGAAATCGTCCATTTATTCTATTTGGCATCCCCCATATGCGACCGAAACCAACAAATAGAAATTCAGGTATCTTTCCAGTAATTCCACAGTTTACCCTACTCATGAGGGTTTAATAATGCCACTTTTAAAGTACAAGAATTTGTATTAAATGACAATTTTGTTCCCTATTC